AGCAAAGCTGAAATGGTGAGCGCCTACGCATGTGTTGGTATTTTTGAATATTTTAGTAGACGACAAAGACAACGGATGAGAATGCAGACTTCCGTCACCTTCGTTTGCTTTTGTTGTTAGTTATGGGCTTTAAAAAATGCTCAAAGTGCACACCAGCAATATTTATGTTGGTAAGTATCACCCTAGTTTGAAGAGCTTGCTCTTAGACGCTCGATTCCCACAATTCCATGCACGAAAGAATTCTTGCTTCAAGATCTCGCTGGTAGTTTCATATTAAAATTAGGCTTATAAATGTAGATGTAATACAGAGTACTTCTACAAAAGGCCTGAACCAACCCAAGGCAGGCAAGACACGGCAAAAAGGCAAGACATAGCTGTGAAAAAGCGGTTTCTACCGAAAACTGACCGCACGACCCCTTCCACTCTTATCAAGCCTCTTGCGTTGAAAATTGCAGTGTGTGCATTTTCTTAAGAGATTCCAAGAGAAAGTGATGTACGTAGCTTTGCAATGATATTGTACGGTTTAGGTAGGAACCGGATCGCCTGGGCATCAAAAAGGTCAAATGAATGTGGTAAAATCGATATGCAGTGTTTTTCCGTTTTGGAGCAATACATCCCGCAAAGTGCAAAAACGACATCGCTTACTGAATCCGATCCATAGTCTCGCGCCTATAAATGTTACGCTTACCACTGCTACAAATAACCGCTCTCGGCAGTGTTGCTTCCACGCCGTAAGTGCTTGTTTGCGCTGAGCGCTCATCTAAGACGACCTCCGTAACTTCGGTCGGAAAATCGTTTGGCAAATTTGGAAAGCTGATTTGAAAATAGCGCCCGTACGTATAGCAATATAAGTCTCATTTCAAATGGCCATGGGGATCCTTCCCTTGTAAGTCGAATAAGCGCTTTTGTTCTTCTGCATATGCATAAATGCTTAAGGTTTCCATGAGCAGGATGAACAACGAGAAGAGTGATATTCCTTTTTAGGATATTTTTTTGCTTGTTTCAGTGTTTGATAGTGATGACTTCTGATTTGGATGCAATGGTTCTGATAGAATGTGACGGTGAGACCTCCCCAACTCTCAGTGTGCTACGTAAAGAGGCGGATCTTGTCGAGGACATACAGAACGAATCGAAATTGTTCCTGTGTGCTCTTGCTCCTTTTTTTCTCTTTGATCGGTTCCATTATATCTCATTAGGTATAGATTATATCTATTCAGTTAGGTTTTTCTGCTGAAGTAGAGGGGGGAGATTTTCACAATTTAGATCTATAGTTGCTCCTCACGTTCTCGATAGTTTCTTGCTAGTATTTTCTCGAACTTCTTCATTTTACCGTTGGATCGGCAAAACAAACATATTTCACAAAAGCAAAATTTCGATATTTCGACATTATTCTACATTGCAGTTGATTATGTTCAAGTTTTATCGAGTCCTTCGATATACAACTTGCGGCTGTTTAATACACACGACACTGTCTTTGACCTTTTAATTAACTAAATTCTTCACGAAGATGGAAACAACGCCATGTTTTGTGCCGCGCGTTCGGTGGGGGTTAAATCAAATAGGGTTTTCTGAATACTCTCCGTCTGTCTTCCATTCGTTTCGATCTTGGAGTGGTTAACGTGTCATCCATTGCCTAGAACTGGCTATTAATTAGGAGCGATGCATTCTATGAATTCAGTGTTCAGTGGCGGTCCAATCATGAAAACCTGCCACTAAATCGGTTTTCTGAGGGAAAATGTATGTTAAGATTCTGACTGTAACGTTAGATGGCAACATTTTAATGGGAAATACGATTGGTCCATTGTAAGTGCATTTTCAAGTGCGAAGCAAGCTCGGTAGCGTAGTCGAAGATAGCATTCTCAATAAGTCCTCGAAAAATTTCTAGCTCTTGGTTTCCTTGTTCGAAATTTTGTTCGAGCCAATCAAAACCAGGTATGGTAGCTGGGAATTTGCGCTGTTTGTTTTGCCACAGCTGTCTGAACCGTCGTCGAGAATTAGGTGGGGGCGCAAGTTTAGGTAACATGAACTCTGTACCCTACCGTGTTTTTTGACTTTGAGTCTTTCGGCCAGTAAAAAAGCTTCGAAGTTAAATGCGAATTTCAAGTGTGATTGGATGCAGACAGCAACGGTTGGACACCGCATTTGACGACTTGGTAGCGTGCGTGACCGCATTTTTGTAGGCAACCTTTTACAAAGACCTTTCTGAGAAAAGCCTAAATGAACTCTTGTAAATAATAATAAACGCGTACTGCGAGCATGACTAGCTCATATAACTAACATATGACTAACCATAAGCCTGAGTCTCATTTGCATATTTTGTGGTACTCTCGTATTCCATTCTACTTTTCAAACGGGAAACGCACCTGTTATTTTGGCTTACTTTGATGCATTGACTTCTCGAACTATAGTAGTTCCCTACGCCTGCAGAGGAACTGCTAGCGGTAACCGTTGATACCGGACAATCGAATTCGATACAGTAAATACGATATGAAATTGTAAATGTTGTTCGCGTCTTGAATAAATGACTGTCAACCTCTATGATCTTTATGAATGTGTCGAGCAAAGCTTACATTGAAAATCGATTGGCAAAATTAAAAATTTGAGAAAAATTAGCATCTGTGTCTGCGCAGGACATCAGGATATTAGCATCTGTGTCTCGATGATGCACCGTGAGACCCATGCTCCGCTAGGTAGTGATGGGAATCAGACGCTTGACGACGATAAAGCTGTTCTGCAACTTATTACCTTCATAGATTTGCGCCCGAAAAGCGCCAAAATCGGCGTATTTAGAGGAGTGTAGGGCTTACAAAATAAAATAAATTCAAGGGTTGGACGAGAATGTGAAGACAGAAGTTGCACGAAAGGGGTATGTGAACGAGCATCGTACCATTGCGCACAGCTGGCTGCAGTGAGCTGCCTGCGTGCGAGGTGAGGGTCCCGGTGCGAACCTTGCAAGCTCTACAGCTTTCACAACGCTTAAGATCCGTTCGCCTGAGGTGTGTGCGTCCACTAAGCCGGTTTTGAGACCCTTATCACGCCCAACATTTATCGTTGGAGTTACAGATCGATAAAATAGGGAGTCTCAAAAACTGTTTCCAACAAGACTTTTTTTATTTTCCTTCTCTGCAGGCACTCGTTAATCTTTTTTCATTCCCGATCGCCGGAGTAAACAGGGTATAACTCTATAATAATCGGCGAGGTCACCTAAAAGCTCCCATTCCTAAATCAATGTATAGTCAGTATTTGTGTAATGATTGTTATAACTATATAACTATATCAAGCAATGTGCAACTCAACCTTTAGTCTTTGAGGTGCGTGTAAATGGTGAACGTTAATGATAATTGATAATGATAATGGCTACATGATAATGACTAGGCTCTATGCGGTAGTGTGAACGCCGAGGAAGAAGCTTATCAAGTGAAATGTTATTATATGTGTTTGAATGATTTTTTCTTTATACATATATTCTCATCCTTTTAGAAAATTTACATAGGCGTCCTGAGAGAAGTAACATCTTAAAGGTGGTTTCATGTAGATGAACGAGGGAATTCGCGAATGGGAGAAGACGAAGAGAAGCCACTAACTATATATAAGCGGTATCTCTATACATAAAGCGGTAACTTTTGTCTGTTTGTGATCGGTTTGTGGGGCCTTCCTGTAGTCACGTAGGTACGATGAAGAGTGTGAATGTCACGTGAGCGCGGTGAGGAGGCAGTTATGAAATGGGGAGCCTACCGATGCTGTTATCAAATCATAGATAAGCGATAGAGTATTTGAATAAGATGAAGAAACCTATTTTCGATTTTCTGGCTGAAGGCCAATACGCAACACACCGTCTATTTGACGCGTGACACTTTTGTAATCGCAATCATTCGTTCATGCGTGGAAACTTTCATGCAAAAGTTCTGCTCGAGCTCAGTCCCCGAACCAGCCTAAGATCAAAGGCCTTTGGCGTTATATATAGTACCAAAATTTTGAATCATGGCTTTATTCGAGCTTTGATTTCTTGATCATTATATTGTGTTTTTGTTGTCACCACGCGATCTTGAACAAAACAGATCTAGCAGTGAAGGAGCAGAAGGATTACAAGACGAATTTTTATGATGGCCGTGTTTACAGACTGTACTTGACTTTGTTCATGTCTAGTAGAATTACTAGGGCAAATTGTTTCAAAAAACTGTTCATATTTTCGGAGAATAGTCTCTAAGATAGCGCAAAGCTAAGTATTATCAAGCATTTATTGATGAGAAATTTTCATTCATCGCATAACCGACATCCTCGAGGACAGTAAGTCTTCCTTTGCTCATGCGTGATACCCTCACGATAGCAGAATCCGTTTGCAATGTGTTGTTGGCATCTAGAAATCATAAGAATTATCCTTCAGTGAATCTTATTACAAAGCCCTTTTCTTACTCTGGACGATCCTCGCACTTCTCTTGCTCTTCGACTGCATGGGTGGTAGTTGCAATAGTGGTGGGCGTAGGCCATGTGGTGCTACGGGTCGTTGGCCTTACTGTAGTTGGTCGAGACTCGTACTTTGAAATTGAAGCAGTTCAATGAGGCTGCAACAAACTCAGGCACAATTTTCTATTGCATTACCATGTCTGTATCGTAAAACCGTTTGTGATATATAAGCCCTATTCCATAATATTATTGGAACCCGATTGCTATAAGAACGGAGTTAGGTCCCTGCGTCGCGAGGAGAACACAACCTGAACAAGAAATTAAAAAGCAGTTGTTGGAATAAGACAAGTCAAAAGTGCACATGCAGTAAAACAACACCTATAACCAGTAAGCTGCTGATTCCTGTTTGTCTTGATTTCTACACCAGCGTTTGGACAGCCTTCGACGGATGTTCATCGGAAAAGCTTACGAGCCCTATTTCAATCTCGGTATTTTCAGGAGACTGAAAAGGAAATGGTCATAGTATCTGAAAACAATATAAGTTCCGAATGTCGTTGGTTGTTGCCTAGTACATATAATTTCCATTTAAAGATTCACTACACTCGATTAACAACGATCTCGCAGCGTACTTGAATCCAATAGTAGCACATCGCGTAATTTTCGTGAGATTTGGCATAGTCTCCTAGGAAATCTGTGAAATTTTGCCACTCCGTCGAAGCATCAAATGTTTGCCCGCATCCTTCTACTAATTGTCCACTTCCGTCAGATGTGAAATTCTTCCCATTGGGCTGGAAATAATAATAACTAAGCTTTGTAATCACCCAAGAAAGCATTCGCATACCCTCTCATCGCATCGAGTTCCAGCGTATCCTCGAGGACAGACGCACTGGGAGCACTTGAGTCGATGAGGGTACCCACCATTTTGACATTCCACCTTTTCCATCCCTCTCTCGTCACACAACTCTGGAAGCAATAGCAGTGAACTAATTCCAAAGACGGACTGAGGAGATGTGGTGGCGGAGGAGACTTTATTTCCCACGCATAGTCCTTGGTATGAATGCCCGATCGACACTCACCCGGACTAACCGAGGTTTTCATCTTTCTTAGATCACTCAATCGGTACCAGATTCGTCTGGGTGGATAAAAACACTGATTTGTAGATCGGCTGGTTGCCGTAATTCATTGTATAGGTCACACGCATTAACTGCCACTACGACTCTGAGTGGAAGTCGAATGCGTGGTCCTGTCCCAAAAATAAATAGAAAAATGCCAAAGAGTTCACTAGCATACTTTCGAAGACTGTATTTCTTGTAGTACAACAAAGGTCCAGAATAAGTTCTCCCGATGGAAGGATAAAGTGCCCCTTCATTGTGGCTTATAAGTGGTGCCCCAGCGTAACACCTTTCCCTCAGACTGATCGATTCCGCTAACTCACTATCGCATCCGTAGAGTTTGTTGAGCATTGAAGCGTCGATGAATGAAACGAATGGCGACCCAAGAGTTTCTCGATAGTCCTTGTCGTACGGTGTCAGCGTTGGAAGCTCAGGGTTGATCGCAGCGCTGCGAATAGATATTTAGGAACAAACACGATACTCAATACAATCAATGTCGTTAATGTTGTGGATTTGGCGATTTTGAAAATTATGATGTATATGATCAGGCACAGAAATTTAGCTCAGCAAAATAGAATAAACAGAGAAAAATTCTTGTTAAAGTTATATGGACTAACTCAGACGTAGACGTAGACGTAGACATAGTGCATGATGCTACCGTAGTCGTAGCCCACACCGAAGTTAGCTCTTTTTTAACCACTTTTTGAACCCTTTACCTCTTTGGGAACCTCGATTGTCGTGCCTTCTTCGCCTCCATTGCGCTACACCCCACCTTCTCTTTATTGTCTGAACAACCCAAAATTATCGTGAACATGTTTTCGAGCTTGCTTAAATGAATAAGCGACAGTTAGCACTGCACTATAATTGGCCTACTGCATGTTATAGCATCTCTCACTCGAAAATAACAATAAAATGGGTCCGGGAACTTCTCCCCTAACACGGCGTCGCACACACGGCACCCGCCGCCTATCGCAGGATTGCGATGAAAGATTGGAGCGCGCAATTTGTGAGGTAGGGAGTCCTTTAATCATTTGAATTGGCTGGTCGCTCCCTTCAATTTCAATGCGGTATTGATCGTCGTTTATATAAGAGGAGTCATTTTGATTAATCAAGTCTAATAAACATGAAAACTAAAAAGAAACAGAAGAAAAAACGATAAAATCCAATGAAAAAGCAAGCCAGTCAAGGGAAAATATCGCGTCCTATCGATTTTCGGGAGGCGGGGTGAGTACGGTAATTGCAGTGACATTTGCCGCATGCCGCAAGGGAGAATGTCGCGATAGGGGAGAAGTTCCGTTACCCCAATAAAATAGCTCTCTGCGGCAGCTTGATGTTGTAGTATTTTTTCAGACTGCTGATTCCAAGAACGTAAAGACCCGTTTTAAGACACAGAATTATTCCTCTGTCCGCCTCGAACATCATTCCGAACAGCATGCATTCATCAAAGAGGGGTTTGACTAAGCCGGTAATGTGGAAGGCTTTGTTCCGAAAGTCTACGATATTTTGAGAGATATTTTTCCACTTCCTATGTTTCTAGGTGTATGGCCTACCTTAAAATCGGTTTTGCCTACTGTTGACGCTTCATGTCTGCTTACTAGCGTTAGTTACACATAATGCTACTTTTCTATCATAGAACCTTCCTTTTACATTATCAGGGTAACAAGGAAAGAGCATGGATGGTGAAGTCCCAAGTGGAACAGCTGCTACACATACGGCCTCGAGGTAAAGTCCCGGATGCATACTCAACAAGAAATTTTCTACACTTTTGAAGTTGCTTTATTGGAAGCGAGCTCGTCAATGAGAATCGATGAGCCCTGGAAGTTTCATCCTTGCCATCCTTGCTTCATATTACCTGACAGATCGCTCGGCTTATGCCGGCTTCCTTCTTTGCTTTGGCACAGTAGTCAAAGAATATTGTTAGAGGAGGGGACCTTTCATCCAACACTAACCAGGGAAGAGTTTCAAGTTCCCATGGAACTTTGACTAGAGACCTAGATATATCGATATGGTTTGGAAGGTTACTAACAAATTTGGAAATTACAACTGCTAAATGAATCTGCCGAAAATCTATGAGCGCCCAAAGTTCCCATGCTCGAAACATGGAGATATAGTGGCAATTGATATGCACAGTTGCCCGCAATGGTCGGAAGGGTTGCCGTGGTACAGTGACAGCGTTCTCAATCGCCAATCAACCACCATTTTTATTGTTACTAGTTAAAGCTAGCGCTTTGTTCCGGCTATCATTTGCGATCACCTTTCTATCACCCATCACCGCACTTATTGGGATAATTTACTCCATGTCATTCCTGTAACGCCCTTTATTTATTTTCAACACCGAAACACACTCACCCCAAGTGAAATCTTGGAACATTGACACGCGAGATGAGTCTTCTATGAGTCCACCTCATTTTCGAGGTTGATATTAGAGCTATGTTTACAGGAGAAATGGCTGCTTTCATAGTCCACGATTTGGCGAGCGGCCAGTCGCGCGATTGGTCGATCACCAAATCGTGGACTATGCGAACCTTATACATGCTGTCTCTCTATAACCGTGTACAAAAAATCAACCGATTCGAGATCAAAAAGCTCTCGTTTTTCTCTACCCATTCTTTGAGTTGTTTCATCGATGTTGAGTTTTCTCTCCGATCCACTTCCCAGGTCGATTTCACTTGAAGTGGGTCTGTTTCAGTGTTAGAAATAAAAGAGCGTTACAGAAATTACGTGGAGAGAATTTTTCCAATAAGTGTGGTGGTAGGTGATAGATAGATGATCAATTGATTGAATGTGGTAGCCGAAATAGATGATAGCCGGAACAAAGCGCTAATTTGAATAAGTGACAAAAATGGTTTGAAAGCTTTATTCGAAGGAAAGCGCGAAAACGAAAACGACAAGCCTTCATTTGGCAGTTAGGATTTCCAATTTTGTTTAAAGCTTTCCAAATCCTGTTGATATATCTAGGTCTCTATAAAAAATTCCGTGGAATCTGAAACCCTCCCCTGGTAAGGGCTAGAGCGCGGGGAAGGAAATGTAGCCAACCTTGCCTGTGTTTAAGGGCAGTTCTGGCCGAAAGAATATGGTTTACCAGTTTGGCTATGCACGCTAACGCGTGCAGTATATGTCGACGGCGACTTACCCACGATGGAGTCATTTAGCAGAGATTTGGATACTCACAATAGGTAGTTCTCTCCGGATTCGATCGCATTTGAGCAGAGCTATGAGTGGTTGATCATAGCTCCGTCCACCTTAGTGCAAACACTTCCCACTATAAACTTGACCACCCTTCTTTTGAATGCACCTAACCATTTTTTCCGCATTTCAGAAAGTTTTCGAAGGGATGCATTTTTTTGTCCCAGCCCCGCTTTCCTGTGCCAGCTCCGCCCACTTCGCGGATTTGATCACATTTGTTCCATTACCTCTTACCACCTTTTCCCCGCGTCCTAGGACGTTTTTGAACTAACTTATGAAATTTTGATCTGAGCCCCGCTCACTTTAGTGCCAACTCCGCCCACTTTTGGGATTTGACCACATTTCTTCTTTTACACCTTAACACCTTTTTGCCGCATCCCAGAACGTTTCTGAGTAGATTTATAAATTCTTGATCTAAGCTCCGCCCACTTTAGTGCCATCCCCGCCCACTTCGGAGAATTTGGCCACATTTGTTCCAATTCTATTTACCACTTTTTCCCCTCATTCTAGAACGTTTCTGAACGGAGTTATGAAATTTTGGTCTGGGTCC